AGATATCAAATCTAATTTGAAAAAAGATAAAAGTAAAATAAACATCCTTAAAAAAAAAAAAGAGAGAGAAATGCGAGAATTCAGTTGTTAATAATCAAAATTTTAAAAAAGAAAAGATATTTATGAGAGATTATGTATGAGTAGAAGATAATTTAATTTTTGTTATATCGAAATAAAGGCATATATATTTTCTTGAATAGTAGCAAAATAAATTTACTTTTTTAATAAAGTTGTAATAGAATAAAATATATTTAATTTTTAAATTGCATGCTTGATGATAATTTTTTTAAAAAATACATTGATAGAAAATTTTAAAATTGATGGTAGTCAATTGTTATCATTATGGCCAAAATGAATTTAATAGTGGTCAATCATTAACCAATAATTTTGGATAAAATCATGGATAGCCAATAAAAAATCAACACTTAGCAACTTAAATTTTGTAAATTTTTTTTTAAAAAAAATTGGAATATTCAAAAAAAAAAAGTATTGAAATTCCACAAATCATATAGTTAAATATTTTAATTAATTTTAAAATTTAAATGTTAAATCCAGTAATATTATGCCATGTGTAATAATTCAAAATTTAGATAATACACTAATAGATTTGAGTCATTTTTTTCTAATATTGTAAAAAAAAAAAATCCAAATTTTAAATTAGATATGTTTAGATAAAATTTAAAGATTTTAAAGATAAAATTTAAAGATTTTAAAATTAAATATTGTTAGATGTACCAATCACTTTAAGCCAAATATAATTTTGTTTTCAAAAATTTTAAAATTGAGAAATTGTATTTAAGGTTTGAAACTGTTGTGTGTGTTTTGTGTTGTTAAGCGGGTGCATATTGGTTGTAGATGATCCGAAGAACTCTCATTTGAGAGAGCTTGAAAGAGCAAAAGTGAGATTAACTTTATGCAGAGCTGATCTTCTTAATTTCGAGAGTTTACGCAAAGCCATTAACAGGTGTGATGGTGTGATAGACATGAGATAAAGTAAATTAAATTAAATTCAAGATTTGATGAGTTTCGAATTTGATTAAATTGAAAAACAAAAGCAAAATAGAAATTAAAAAGTAAGCAAGCCCAAATCGTGCGAAATGTAATAATGAAGAAGATGAAAAGATATGTAGATAAACTGAAAAATAATAGAAAAAAGAAATGTATATATATACACAAAAGTAATAAACACTGAAAAAATACATATAAAGTAAGAAATAATATTATGAGCATAAAAATGAAGAAAATGAAAAGATATGCAGATGAACTAAAAATATTTAAAAATATATATACACACAAAGTAACAAACACTGAAAAAATGCATATAAAGTAAAAAATAATATTATACTGACCTTGTAATGATTTTTTGCAAATAATCAAACTTGCAAAATATAATAATGGAGAAGATGAGTTATTATGAGAAAATAAAAGATGACTGGAATAAACTGAATAGAGAAATGTGTGTGTAGAAGTTGTAGGAGTTGTCGATTTTTTTTTTTGTTTTAAATTGAGATTGAGAGTGAGATAGATATTATTGTGAGTGATGGATATAGATGAATATTTTATTATTTTCGGATAAGTATTATTAGAAGGAGTGAGAAGGCTTGAAGAGTGGGAAGGGAGCTAAAGGGAAGTGCCACGTAATATTTTTTTTTTTCAAAATGATGAGAATTTAGGATTCAAGTTTTAGAATCTTTTGACTTAACAACTACATTTGATTATATATATAGTACAGTATAGATAGATACATAGTATAGATATGGGCAACGGGTAAATTTCAATCTCAAAAAAAGAAGGTAAATTACAGGAACAGTTTGTGGTTTTGGTTTTTTTTCCTTGACTGAGGTTAGGGTTGTAAATTTGGTCCGGCCCAGCCTAACCCATATCGGGCTTCACGGGCTCCTGTCAAAATTCAGATAAGGCCGGGTCGAGTCACGAGCTATAGAATTAGGTTCAGGCCCAGCCCAAACCCAAGGGTATTCGGGCTTGGGGCGGGCCTGAACAAATTTTTTTTTAAAAAATTTTTTTCTATCAAAATTTTATTATTTTCTACAAAAAAAAAAACATTGGGCCTTGGGCATATTGGGTTCAGACCGAGCCTTGAGTAGGCCTTAAGCAGGCCGATGAGACTGGGCTTCAAAATGATGGCACAGGTCTTGGCCTATGGTTTCGGGTTGAGCTTGGGCTTGGGCCTGGGCCAAAACGGGTTGGGCCCACTCGGGCTGCGAGTGGGTTTTGGGCTACCCACAAGCCGCGGGCCATTATTACACTCCTAATTGATGTGCAATCTGTAATGTAACTTTATATCTTAGGAAGGGAAATGTAATTTTTTTAAAAGTTAAGCCAAAATAAATTCAGGAGAGATGTTTGGGTAATTTATCTTTTATTTTTTTATGCGGTAAGTGATGGGGAGAAAAATTATTTACAAAAAAAAATGATAAATATTATAAATTAAAATTATAAATATTTTTATTGTAATAATTTTTTAAAATCACCTTAAATAGCAACCTTGTTTGGCTCAGATTTTCAAAAAACAATATTCAAAATATTCTATTTTTTTCTATATTTTAATGTTTTCAAGGGTAAATTACAAATACACCGCTTGAGGTTTGATTAAAATAAAAATTACTTCCTGTGATTTTGAAAATTACATTCCACCCCAGCAGTTTCTAATTTCATAATAAATTGCCCATTTTATTAATAAATTATCAAGTCAATTAACAGTCTTTAATGATATTAAAAATATGTTTCAATTAATAATTTAGGTAATTTTATTATTGTATAGGAGAACAATTATAAATAATATTTTTTTAGTTAATTCTATTAAACAAAAAATTCTAATGAAGGGTATTTAAAAATTTTCAAACCACATGGGGCATTCTGTATTGTAAGCAAACCTCCGGAGGTGTATTTGTAATTTACTCAAAAGTATAATATTTGTGAAAAAAATCTTTAAAAAATACATTAAATACCAAAAAAAATATATATATAAAAAAATACAAACATTAGGAGATTTACCAATAAATCTCATATCATAAACAATTATTCCAATAAGTCCCAAATTTTTTCTATTGATCTATTAAGTCTTATTAGTAGAAAGTTTCTTTCTGTGTGGTCCTATTTTTGATTTTGATAATGTTTTGGTGAACAGTTATACCCTTTTATTAACGTAACATGTATGATGTGATACTCTAATGTGACAGGTGTTAATGTGACACTTTAAAAAAATTAAAAACTCGTTAATGTACTTTTCTTAAATGTGACAATGTGGCAGGTATGATTTAATACTCAAAAACTTTATTTAAAAAAAAATAAAAACTCTTTAGTGTATTTTTTCTTAATGTGATAACATGTCGCGTATGATGTGACACTTCAAAAAAAATTAAAAACACCTTTGTGTGCTTTTTCAAACGTGACATGTGACACGCCAATGTGGCGGGTATGATGTGACACTCTAAAAAAATTAAAATTTATTTAATGTACTTTTCTCAAATATGACACTCTAATGTGACGGGTATGATATGACATTAAAAAAACTCTTTAGTGTATTTTTTTAAAATGTGACACTCTAATATAGTGGGAAAATGAGTCATTACACATCTAAAATGACTAAATAGATTACAAGAAAAAATATATGGGACTATATGGATTATAAGTCCAAAATGTAGGACTTATTGATCAATCTCCCAAAATTTAATACATTTTTCATATTTTTGTATATTTATTAATTTTTTAAAATATTTTTTTACAAATATTTTACTATTTAGATACATTTAGGTAAGATGCATCTAAAAAAAACTAAAAAAATTACTTAAAATTAACAAAATATTCACTAAAAATAAAAAAATACGAAAAATAAAAAATATAATTTTCAAAAATTAAATTAAAAAAACTAAAACCAAACACATTTATTTATCTTATTTTTTATTTTTGTTCTGGCAAAATAACTTGTAACTCGAAAGTAATGCTATGTATCATGGGAAAAAATATCATGAAAATAATCATGAAAGATTTTCTACTGTTAGATTACACATACAATAAAACACCACACACTAATCAAGAAATAAAAAATCTTTATGAAATATTTTATGATATTTTTTTAATGATCCCTAATATCTATACTGTATATTAAGTAAAAGGGGTTTTAAACCCCAAGCCTTGTGGGAGATCCAATCTCCCAATCTAAATTTCTTGATTTTTTGATTTAAAAAAAAAAATTTAGCATTTATTAACTTCTCCCAACCCCCAAGTCTTACCCTCATAATAAGACTTTAATGCATTAAGAACAAGCATAAAAAAAATTATTTGAAATCCAACACATATGAATTCCTTGAAAAGTCTCAACACATATGATTATTATCCCTCATAATAACACTTTAATGCATTAAGAACATGCATAAAAATTTTTTCTTAAAAAGTCTAACACATACAATTATTATCAAAATATTAAATTTTAATATAATATAAAAAAAAGACATTTAAAAAAAAAATATTTAAAAATCATAATTTATATATATAGATGATTATAAATACAATTCGTACATAACACACGGATAATATGCTAGCTATTGATAACCGAAATATGACTTATATTCTCTCTCCTCTCCTCTCCTCTCCTCAGAGCATCTCCAACGGTAGTAGGCATTTTACCTATCTAAATATTACTATAAAGTATATATTTTATTTTGCCTATCGACTGTTTTATGTTTTTACTCCAACCATGCTCTTTATTTTAGCTATTTATCCAAATACTATTAATTTTATAGAATGTCACATCAACAACAAAGATGGAGGGAAATGATCCTAATGATTGAATACATTTTGCCTAGCATTGAAGGCTAGCTACATATAGCTAGTGAATATGAGTTGAGGCAAAATGCCTAATCATATGCCTAGTGCATTGGAATTGAAAAAAATAAATCACACTAGACATTTTAACTAACAAGTATTATATGCCTAGTGCATTGGAGATGCTCTCAGACTCCAAGCCAAACCTCGGAGGACCACTGTTTTAACCTATGTGGGCGCCCACTATATTGCGTACATTACACATCTTTGTACTAGTTCATAGTCGGTTTACGATTCACAGTTGTTCACGCTCCCGAAACACCTCGTGAATTGTACCAAATGGAGAGTCTATGGCGAGCTGCGACGGGTGCGAACCCAAACCCCGAAGACTACGAAGGAATAGACTACTGGTCCAACCCCGAGCGCACCGGTTGGCTCACCAAACAAGGCGACTACATCAAGACCTGGCGTCGCCGCTGGTTCGTCCTCAAACAAGGCAAGCTCCTCTGGTTCAATGACTCCTCCGTCACACGCGCCTCCCTCCCCCGCGGCGTCATCTCCGTCGCCACCTGCCTCACCGTCAAGGGCGCCGAGGACGTCCTCAACAAGCCCTTCGCCTTCGAGCTCTCCACCGATCGCTTCACCATGTACTTCATCGCCGATTCTGAGAAGGACAAGGAAGAGTGGATCAACTCGATTGGGCGTGCCATAGTTCAGCACTCGAGATCGGTTACTGAATCGGAGGTTGTTGATTACGATAGCAAACGGTAGTTCGTGAGAAAGTACTTGCACTCTCTGTAATATTATTAGGTGCGTCGTTTCTGATCTTGATTCGTGTTTTTTTTGCATGTGTTGTGTGATGTGAATTTTATATATGTTGGTGTATTTTACAGTGAATTCATGGTCTTCTTGTAAAAAAAACCCTAATTTTTGTGGATGTTTATTGATTTTCTCTTTTGGTTTTATAGTGGGATTGTTTGATTTTGGTGTGCAAATGGTTGGAGTGGTATTGATGTTAGTGTTCTATGCGATCGCATCTGCTAGTTTTCTCACTGGATTTTTGTTTTTAGATAATTTGGAATAATTTAGGATTCACGATACTCCTCAATTAATCGAATTTGAGATCTCACTGTGGAGTGACCCTCTTATCTACTGAGTTTTGTGGAATGTCTGCTGTATGTGATGATTGGTGAGTGAGACTGTATTTTAATTACTTCGCTGGGAGTGAATATGTAGTGCAATTAAGGAATGGGGAAAAAAATAAAAAGATCAAACAACAAACTAAGAAACATGAGAGTCTACTTGGTTCAGCTAGAGAGAGGCCTATCTAAGAGAGTTATCCATTACAAAACTTGAAGATTACGAATGAATCATGAGATTTTTAAAGGCGCTGAGATAATCTGGCGATGTCCACCTATATTTCTCTCACACAACCCAAAAAAGAATCCCTACCCATCACTACAATGCATCTTGCTTTCTTCAATCTACATTTACTTCTGTGGTCATGTATTTGATCAACATGTACCAAACCAAGCCTTAAGTCTCTTCAAATGGGGTCGGCTATAACTTAATCGATTCAAAGTAGGCTTCATTTGATCAACATGTATAGATAATAAATAGAGGGCTTTGAAATTTCTCCTTAAGTTCCATACCAAAAGAGGAGAGTACTTTGGAGGAGGCTTCTCCCTCAAGTTTGCTTTGCTACCTGTATGAATGGGTTCAAGAACGTCGTTGGAAAATTCGAAGATCTTCGAAGATCCTTGAAGAACAACTTCGAATTTTCTAGAAGATGATGAGAGGCTTAGATTCTTCAATAATTTCAACTTAGGAACACAAAAACAAAGGAGATGATGGAGATAAGAGATTGGGTGAAGAAGAAGGCAAAATGACTGGAGAGAGAATAATGGCAAGGCTCTCCCATGGATCTCCCACTTTCACTCTCAAGGTTGATAATGGAGAAGGGAAATTAGTTCTTTCCCAAGAGTTAAAAATCTCCAAAATCCATCCCTTGTAAAGCTATGGGTGGGTGCTATTTATAGGCACCTCATGATGTAGGATGGAGCTCATGTGCAAGGCACCTGGGGAATATTCTCTCTAACCACCTTGTCCGAGGAGGTGACCTCTCCGAGGATTAGGAAAACCCCGAAGAGGAGATCAACCCCTCGGCGAACCCTTCTTCTTAGCCACACCTAACCAATGATCCCTAATCATCCCAAAGGGTCAGGGGTAGTCCCAGAGGACGTCCTGCTGCAAAATATTGCCGAGTCTTATGGACCCCTCGGGGTCGTGCCACCTCGACCCGGGTATAGGCTAGTTTAACCGAAGAGTGAATTTATCTCCACTCATCGTCCTCGGGATCGGGTCATTTGTTCGAACTCCATTACGCCCATGGTTCTGATGCGTAGACCCTGGAAAGCTCCGAGCCTGCAAGTGTTCTGGGACTCATTAACGGAGCGGCTTCTAGATTGCGTCTGAATCTGTTCGAAGCCAAGTGTTTCGGACCTCTAGGTTCGTGGATTCGAACCCTTTCGAGTCTGAGTGCCTCGGATCTCTAGGCTTGCTTAATACCCTTTCGAGTCCGGGCCCGAGTAAGTCTCTAGGTTCGTGGATCCGAACCCTTTCGAGGCTTAGAGCCATTCAGCCCGTTTGATGGCGATAAATCTGGGCCCGCCAGTCTTGGGCTTGCGATAAATTTGGGCCCATCAACCTTGGATTATTGGGCCTAATTAATTTAGTGGGCTTAAACTTAACTCCTCTTACATTTGCCCCTTGCGTGTATGAGAAATTTTAAATTTCTCAGACATGCATGCTGTCATTTCTTCGACCCTGCTTCGCATCACGTTTCCCAAAAAAAAAACATGTTGTCACGACAGAGCCTATGGATAAAGTTGATGACGCACTTCAATTTACAGAAAAAAATTGACAAGCAAAAATTTTATTTTTTTGTACTCTTTTTTTTTTAATTTTTTTTTTTATTTTATTTTTTAACATTTGAGAAAATATACATATTCATTTTTTTTATTCTTAACAAACAAGGCTCACACGTGTCTCTCTCTTTTTTTTTTTTTTTGGCAAACATAGCGGACCAATTACATACATACACTTATTTAGAATATGCTAATGGAATATTCAAAGGATAAGGCTTCCTTTTTTCTATTTAAGGAAAAGGATGAAGACCTAATCAATACATCTTTTTCTTTCTTGAAACCCTGTGGCGCACACACTCTCTCACTAAAATGAGAGCCCACCCCAGGTTGCCTTTCTTTCTTTTCAACAGAGCTCCGTAGCCACTAAGCCAACGCTGGTTGCTCACAAGGCCAGGGCTGCTGCCGTTTGCACAGACCTCCATTGCGATTTCAAGCCACGCCGCCAAAGGCCCACGCCACTGTCACTGTTGGCCAGCACTGGCACCAACTCATCGCGGTTTCTGCCTCCTCCTGTTGCTAGCGTCCTGTCGCAGCTCCACCTACTACAAACGCTGACCGCCATTGCAATGCCATCCACCTAGCTCAACTCCAACTATCGCGAATCGTCACGGCCAGCCCTCGTCTTGTCGCAGCTCCAATCGGCCATCACCAACGCCATTGCTACAGCCGGCTTCGACTGCCCAGCCTCATTGCCAACTCACAGTCAGCTTCTCTGCTGCGACCTCGTCGTTGGCCTCGACTGTTGCTCCAGCGCCAACCACACACGTCGCCCTTTCAACGCGTCGTGTGTGGTCACCAACTCTGCTGCGACATCACCGCTGCGACATCACCGCTGCTTTCGGCCTCGCTCATCCAACGCCGACCACGCACGTTTGCCCACTCAACGCCGTGTGTGGTCTTGCCTAACGTCGCTTAGGTTTAGTTTTGTTGATCAACGTCGACGCCGACTCTGCTACGTCTTCAACACTGTCTTCCTTCGTTGGCGTAAATTTGTGAGCAAGTTCTTTTAATGGTTTTGTTTATTTATTTTTATATATATATATATATATATATTTTTGTGTGGTGGCAGTATACCCACCTTCCTTCTTATTAATGGATTTTTGTGCTCAAAATAAATAAATAAATAAACAAATAAATGAATGAATCCATGCATTGATACATGTTCTAATACATAAAATAAAAATAATATTGGTGATTTGAAATTCTAATGTGAAGCTTGAATTTGTTTAGGCTTTGCAATTTTTGAAATAGGCTGTGGGATTTATTTAAACGATTTTTCTGACTTGAAATTTGCCAAAGAAATTCTGGGCTATTGCATAACTTGAACCATTGATGATGGATTTTGCCGTCGTAATAAAATATTTGCCACTTGAATTGAGCAAATAATATTGACTTGGGAGGAACATTCTTGTAGCTTGCACGACAATCCATTAAATCTTGCTACTGATGAGCAATGTAATATACTTTGGATCTCGGGCCCGAAATTTGCTATTGAACTTCACTCCGTCCAAATTTTGAGCCCCATATAAATTGAACCTTTAGTATGGAACATAGTGACTTTGAGAAATTGACCCGATTGAACTTTATCACAAAGCGACCTATGACATTGCACCTCTTGATGATAGAAATCGAAAATCTGTATGTTGATGATACACCCATTGGTATTAAAATTTGTTGAGCTTGAAGAATATCCGAGAAAATGAATTGTTGATGACGTCCGAAGTTGAATTTGTTGATAAACCCATCATGTAAATCTTATTATAAAAAATGACTGATTGTTGCGACCCTTAGCATAGTAGACATTGTGCCTGAATTCTTGGTGAAAAAAATTCCTTGTAAAATTTGTTGAATTCATGGATTCTCTGAGAAACGAATAGTTGATGTCGGAATTTCATTCGAATGTGTTGCTTCAATTCCAATATTTTGAATTTTAACATAGTCAACTCCTTGCTATTTATACCTGTTGTTTCAGCCATATGTCTTCTCGAAAGAAACCCGTTGTCTTGGGGTCCTTAGAATCGGCTCTCATGAAAGAGAGGGATGTACCTCCGGCATCTGAGTGGAGGAAATCTCCTTATTTTGGTCGGAAAGACCCGTTCTGGCGAGCGGCTACCTCCACCACTTCTCTTCTATCTCCAAAAGGGGCTCCATTATGTCTTAGTGAGGACACTGACTCCGGACATGAGGCCCCTATTTCTCCTTCCTCGGTGCTACACTTCCGGATTGAGCGAGGGGACTTTCCATACTGTTATCCTCAGTTCAAGGCCTTCTCAAACCCTCCTTTTGGTTGGCAGGAGTGGGTCGATGATGTCCTCTCGGACAGGAGCCTCTGTCAGCGGCTTCAGGAGGCTCGACTATTGATCCTGGTGAAAATATCTCGATCCCTATCCATCCGTCGCAACAATGCTAGCCTGGAAGCCATGGCTCTTCGGTGGAGCACCGAGACACACACCTTTATACTTGGCTAGCACGAGATGGGGCCCACCCTTGAGGATGTGTTCATGTTGCTGCGTCTGGAAGTGACCGGCCCTGATGCCTTCGACCCTGAGCAGACACCCCCCAAAGATGATTCTTTGATCCAATCTCTGAAGCTAAATCTTCGAACTTGTGGTCGGTGGAGTTCCGTTTTTGATGGTTCAGCGAGGAGGACTAGTCGAGTAAGGACGGACCGTGCCTCTTATACTGCATGCCGTCACTTCTTCAAGGATCTTCAGCCCTTGGCCAGAGATGCTGACCCTGACTCTCGGGAGTATGAGGCCGGTCCGATGTATGGCTCCAGGCTCTATTTCTTGGGATTTCTGGCTTGCTTCCTTTCATTCTTCATTCTTCCGAGCACACCTCCGGATTCCCTCAATCCTTTCGTCTTCCCCTTGGCAGTCAGGCTCTTCAGAGGAGATCGAATCCCTTTGGCTCCGCTATTTCTTGGGAATCTCTATTACCGGCTGGATCTGCTACATCGAGATATGGTTCGTTCCGTGGGTCGATATGAGCCTGTCTCCTTTATTCACAACCAGTTCCTGCTTTGTTTCTTCTTCGAGAGGTTCCCCAAGTTTG